CATATTTTTAAAAATATTTAATAATAAGGTAATTCTCATAATTAGATAAAAGGAAAACACTAAGTAACATAGTCATTCTAAGCCAAAGTTGATAAAATACATACACATATATAAGAATATATGTGAATGTGGTATATGGAAGATTTATGGTACATACATCACATGATAATAATGGTAATATCTGGTAGGTAGGACAATTTTCCCTTCCCCTTTCGCTCCCACAGTCCCTTCATCCCCCTCCTGGAGCAAGGATACCCATCTTCTTCTACACTCAGATATTGAACTCCTAGTTCTCTGAAATTTGGACTGACAGTTATGCCATCAGCTCCACTGGTTATTGGACCTCCAACGTGGGATTATATAACATCACTGACTGTCCTGTCTCTCCAGCCTGCAGAGAGCTGGCACTTCTCGGTCTTCATAATCATGTGAAGGTTAAATAATTAATCTCTTCTTATGTGTATACAGTCATGTGACACACAGTAACATTCCAGTCACCAACAGACTACATATACAGTGGTGGTCTCACAGGTTTATATCTACCAGTGATATCCTGCAGATCTTATTTTGGGTAAGTACATTCTACAATGTTTGCATAATAACAAAATTTTGTAATGATGCATTTCTCAGAATGTATACTGAGCTGCAAAAATTCCAACTAATGCACATACTTTATTAATGGCATATATTAAGCACTGCTACTTAGAATAGCAATCATTGGTGGAAAATGGGAAGGACGAGGAAGATGAGGCGGGGAAATCATAAAATAAGATAAAAAAGAAAAGGGAAATAGTCATGCATGCATCACTAATGGCATTGTGCTATAAATTGACCATGGCTAGGTCAACATTGTGCATATAGAAAACAAACAAATAAGACCAAAAAAACCTCCAAAATTCTCTAGCAAAAACATTGTTATTTCTTTTGGAACAAACCAAGGAAAGCATTAAAAGGGTAACAAGTCTTTCTGTGACCTGGGCCTCCTCTTCTGTTTCATTCTCAAAACCCTTTTCTCTGTTCCTTGACCACCTGATTCTTCCCCCACTTATGGTTGATACACTGTGTCAACTTGAGAAGTTTAGAAATTTAACTAAGAAACTCAGCAGGGATCCAGGATCTTTACTTTGTAAAATAACTTATGTGTTACATGTTTTAGGCTTCATTCTAGATTCTTATTAATTCCTCTTTCCATTCATAATCCAAACCACAGCGTTCCATAAAATCAGACTCATGCTCTAAGTGTGTTTTACCTAATTACTGTATATAAGAGTGACTGACATAGCAGCAGAATGGAGACATCAGTTTGTTGTTGAAAAGAGGACAAGATCGTTCACAAGCAGATATGGAATGTAGAAATCAAACAGAGATCACAGTAGTAAGCGGTGTGTCAAGAAACAAGCAGGTGAAAGGAATCTTAGATTTATTTGTCATCCATGGCTAACTTTTTTCTTTATGGGGGAGGGTGCTTTGCTTTGCTTTTTAAAATTCATTTATTTATTTATTTTTCTCTGCTCTGATGTGCTCCGTTCCACTTGGCTTTGCTTTATTTTGTTTTTATGGTACTAAAGTTCCCTCATTTTTGAGACAGAGACAGGGTCTTGCTAAATTGCCCAGGCTGGGCTCAAACTTGCAATCCTCTTGCCTTAGCCTTTCAGAGTTCTGGGATTACAGACAGGCTCCACTAAGCACAGCTAACCCTTTAGGTCTCACTTTCATCTTATCATTTGGAGATTTTTCCTGACCACTATACCCAAAGCACTATTACTCACTGTTAAAGTCAATACAGTAGTACCTCTAATCTATCAGAAATGTTTTAGGACTCCCGTGGATGCCTGAAACAGAAGATAGTACTGAACCCTACACATACTATGTTTTTTCTTTATATGCATATGCATACACATGATAAAGTTGAATTTATAAATTACACACTGTAAGTGATTAATAATAATATAATAATAACCAACAATAAAGTAGAAAAAATATGAATAGAATAATAAAATGCCATCATTAAGTAAAGTTAGAATTACTTGAACACAAGTACTTCAATATCTCCACAACTGACCCAATAACTGAGACTGTGCCAAGTGACTATACAAATATGGTGCAGACACTCTGAACAATGAATGGATGGTTTACATCCCAGACAGGATGCAGCTTCATGTCATAAGACTGCATCATGCTACTTGAAATGGCATGCACTTTTCAACTCATTAATTGTTTATTTCTAATTTTTTCATTTAATATTTTTGTGTCATGCTTAACTGCAGGTAACTATGAAAGGGAAACCATGGATGAAGACTACTGTATATAAGTTTCTATTTCTTTGTACTTTTTATAATTCATATTGATACATTATGTCTTAGTTATTTTCTCATTACAGGGCAAAAATACCTGACACCCATATGTTAAAGGAGAAAAGGTTGATATTAGTTCACAGTTTGTAGAGATTTCAGTCCATCATCACCTGGCTCCAAGGCAGGGCAATATGGCAGAGGAAAAACAGTCCTTGACAGAGCAGGCAGAAAAGGAGCAAGCAGTGAGCCTTCTTTTCCCTTTTTATTCTACTCAGGCTACAAGTCTATTGGTTGGTGCTATCCCCACCCAGGATAGGCCTTCCTATTACTCATGTCCAGAACTATGCTAAACCAATCATCAATGGACTAATCCAGTTATCACATCCAAAATTAATCTAGAATCACACCCATAATCTGGTATTACACAACTATGATCCAGCCACTCCCAAAAGCCTCACTTACGAGTGTATGAGGCTTTGAGGGAACATCTAAATGTAAACAATAACAGGTTATCTATTATCTATTTCTCTCTTACATTTTTAAGATCTGTGGGGTAAGGGACCATGTCTGTTCTGTTTTGCCTAGTGTTCTCACGGATCTCTGAACACAGCTGGGGCTCAGTAAGGCTTTCTTAAGTAAATGGGTAAATGCTGATAGTATTAAAAAGGCAAAGGAAGAAAATGAAAATCTCTAAAAAGTTCTGTGCTTCTAACATTAATAGTTTTGAAACATGAACGTGCACATAGATCATCCAGAAGTATTGTTAAAATCTGGATCAGATTCGAAAAAGCAGATTAAAATTCTGCATTTTTTTTCACACAAGAAGGTGGTGCTGCTGCCCCAGAGATCACATCTGGACTAGGAGCAGCTTAGACCACAATTCATTATAATTGCCTTCAATGATTTAGTCTGACCTTTTAGATAGAGATACTTTTAGGAACACAAATGCAAAGTTCATTTCTGACTTTAAGGTTTGTATGGAAGAAACTGCATATTAAAATCTTGGTACGTCCTGTATTAAAGAAAACTAATAATATAAAAAACTAGTACATTTAAATCAGAGAATACTGACTCCTAAGAAATTTGTAATTTTTCCTTTTTTACAAGGAAAAATCAAACATTGAACCTATATCCTTTTATTATTCTGACCAACAAAACTTGAAAGGCAAGTTTTTGGCAGAAATGTAACAACTTCATTAACTACAGACTAATGTAATCATACCTTATAATCTCTCCAGGCAATGGAAACTAAAGGAATGAGGTGAACACCAATGTCAAAGCTCTGCTGATAATAATATATACTATATTTCAATCCTCAACTGCTTTCTCCTTTGAAATGATAATGATCTTATTCCTCTTGCTCATCTTAGTTCTATCATTCAAAGAGCTGATACTCTGAGAATACTTAAAACATTTTAAGATACAATAAAAAATGAAACTTCATAACCTAAAAAAAATCAATGTGCTGCTCACCTTAACATCCCTATAGGTATAAATCTATAGGTCCTACATTTTCAGCTGTCTACATGCATAAATGCTTCTTTTTCAAATCAATGTATTTGAAAGGATTCCAATATTACTTTCTTTATTAGTGCAGCATAATACTGTGATCTGTTTCTTTACTATGGTTTTCTAAGCTATTTATAATTAAATATTCAATGAATCCTTGATCAATCATGAGATAAATATTTTCTGATCAAACAATAGATAAATTTTCTTTTTGCCACTTTTATTAGTACATGTTTGCAGTACATAATAATTTTTGTGCTTGAGGAGTAACACTCAGTACAACTGGAAAAGGTATTCCCTTTCTAAAGACGAAATCATAAAACGCTCATATAGTTTCTCTTTGATAAACACTTTTTTGAATGGGCCAGGAACTTTTGAAATAAAATGCTAACTCTATAAACTGAAAGAGAAACTTATGATTCATCTCAAACTAGAAAACTGAAGCTAAACTTTACTGGTTTTTTTCTGATATGTTGATTCATTTTTGCTTTTTCTGCCAACATCAGGTACCATGGAGAAACACACACACACACACACACACACACACACACACACACACACACACAAACTCCCCTGCTTCAACGAGCCAATAATAAATACACTAAGAGACAGAGATTTAATTCAGTCTTTACAATGACATGAAAATACTAAAATATTTTATATAATAAAAACATATGATTAGTGAACAATTTATGGAAAGGAGAGCATTTTAGGTGGGTCATAAAATCAACTTGTTTCAACCATCATGCCATTAGTCCTGTGTAACATTTAATTTGATAAAACCAGAGATTTAGATGGGCATTGCTATGTGCTGTTACTAGTGTCAAGAAGCCTTGCCTGAATAGCAGGTCACACCCCAGACTTCCCACTTTGATCCAGTTCTCTTGCACTCTACTATACATACCTTTCAAACAATAAAGTCTTATTAGAGTTTACATTTTTCTACTTGCCAAAGTTTGAATTCCATAGAAAAATCAAATTGCTGAAAATAAATCTCATATCTCTCATTTTCAAAAGCTGGAAGTAAGTATATTTTTCACATTGTCAGTGAACATTATTTAAAATTATAATCATTAATATTTTAACCCTTTCAGCAAAGAGCTTCACTAAGCATAATCTAAATGTATCTTTTCACTTGATTATCACAATGGCTCTACAAGGTAGGCATTATTACTATTTTTCAATTTCTTTTTTCACTCATAAGCTTTTGATTTTTTTTCTTTGTTTTTTTCTTTTTTCTTCTTCTTTTTTTTTGTTTTTTGTTTTTTGTTTTTTGTTTTGTGTGAGACAGGGTCTCACTATATAGCACAGGCTATCCTGGAACACACATATGTAGCCAAGGCTGGTCTTGAACTTCAACGATTCTCCTACCTTAGCCTCACTAGAACTGGGATTACAGGCATGCACCACCATGCCACGTGGCCATTATTATTATTAATCTGTATCACACAATAAAGAAATTGAGACCAGTATAATTTAGAACTTTCCGAAGATCACTCACTGATATATGATTCCTGCGTTGAATATGTGCAAGAGCCCACGCCTTAATTAGCAGAGGCCAGACCCTAGAGAAACTCTATTAACTGACTTTAAAAGTCTATTTTTAAAATTCAAGAACAAATATAGAATATTGTTTATTCAATAGTACTGTCTCACAAATCAAAATAAACCACTGTGATTTAGTCTTTGGTTAGGGAAAGATTTGCTAACCTGGCAGTCACTGAACGCAGATCCCACATTCTAAAAACCACAGGCAACAATAGACGCGGAAAGGAGCTGGGGCCAACCTGGAGAAGACCGGAAGTGTGGTGGTGGGAACACCAGGACTGGGCACAGACCAGGCCTGGAGAAGCGCGGGCGCATTGTTCTGGGTAGTGGCCTGCTATGGAGGGGACAATAATCAACGGCGGACCGGACCGCACGTACGCCAATTGAGGGCAAGAAACCTTCAGAAACCACAGTAGGTACCTCGGTGGCTCGAATTCCCTTTTTTCTCAAGATTCTTTCCTGCATACCCCCTCACAGTATCCTGTGCCCTACAAGGTTTTATCCCAGCTACTTGTCTGATACCTGCAGGTCTTCGGTCCCCACCTCTGAATTAAACTTAGGCCCCTCGAGACGCCGGGTCGCGGCACAAAGAACCCGGAGCTGTAGACCTCGGCCTGGAAAACTCGAGGGTGGCGGTGAGGTAGGGAGACGCCCTGAGCCTGTCTCCTAGTGCTGCGCCTCGGGAACCTGGCTGCCGGCATCTGGAAGAGGAGGCCTGCAACTCAAGCTAGCAGGCCTGAAGTCACGGCCGGAAGTGAGGCGGTCGCTTACTTATGGGGAGAGTTGCAGCTGGATCCTGACAATCAAAAATCAGTCTCTGCTGCTCAGGACAGAATATAATAAGCACTGAATCACCAGCTTGTTCCTGGTTTACTGGACAAGACTATATAACCCCTGAAAGGATCCGGTCACAGGAAATTGGAGGAGAGGTCAGTTAAGAGGCATAGAAAGTATTTGGCTGGCCAGGCCAATGTAACCAAAGGAATAACATGGAATGATAGCAAATGGAATATACTCTCCAGCAGTACTCTAGAATTGAACCCAGAACTCTCAAAACCCTTTTAATTTTTTTTATTTTGAAATAAAATCTCTAAGTTGCCCAGGCTAGCCTCAAACTTGCAATCCTGACTCCACCTCCAAGAATACTGAGATTGATGGCAGGCTGCCAATGGAATATTAGTAATCAGTTTTTTGTTTGCTTTTGGATTGCTAGGGTACTGACCTTAGACTTGAGTCTTCCTTGGCAAAATGCTCTGCCACTGATCTACAGTCTCAACTAAAAATACATAACTAAAACTCTTATTCTTCACTTCAACAATTAACTGGCTGTTCCCCAAGGTTAATCTTACTCTACAAGAGTAAGTACATAGAGATCATTTTAAGTACATTAATTTCTGTATGTCCTTTATCAGACATGTACCAAACACAATATGAAACCTAGCAGATGGTCAAAAAATATTTGTGGCACACTTAGACAAATACGTTTACCTTCTTAAATTGCCAGTACGTAAATGTAGAAGTCATGTCCCAGTTTTAATAATGCATCAGATTTTAAGTCCAGCCATGCGGATGGCAAAAAGATGTGTCAGACCTTGGCATGATTAGATTTTATAATACAGACAAATAATATCTATCTAAATGCATGCATATCTTTACACTAATTTTAGGTTTGTTTAGAGAAAATTTGGCTGGGTGGGAATGGAGAATACTTAATGCATTTGACCTTTGTTAATACTGGGTATAACAAAAATTTTGAGTAAAATGGAACTCAAGTTAGGTGCTTTGTAAGTGAAGTATAGGAACATTAGTGTTTGAGTCATGACCACTATTTTGATACTTTAAATCTTTTTTATCTACTTAACACTATCTTATTTTTCAATAGTTCAAGCATGGATCAAAGCAGCAACGAATGTACAAAAAAGATTAGCAATGTGAATATTGACAAACTTATAAAGGATTTCTCACAGATAGAAAAGGTATGTAAAAATAGCAAATAGTTATAATATATAAGAAAAATTGAACAATTTACCAATGGAAAAAGATGAGAAGAAAAACACAAAATTAGGAGAAAGATACAAATTTTTAAAATGTATTTTGCTAAGCCCTGTCTCATTCTTAAAGTTTGTATTTAAAATATGTCTGATTTTTTACTCATTTGCATAGCATTTCAAAATGTGTGTAGGGAAGAGGATCAAACAATTGGTGTACTTTTGTCAAAGTTAAAAGGAAAATACTTAAATGCCCAGTGTGTCCATAAAATCAGAACTAGTTTTAATAAAAATTCAAGTTGACTAATCTTTCAATCTCCTGCCATTATGACTTGTTTGTTTCCTTTCTCCTTATTCTATCTATTCTCTTTTCCTGATTTTTGCAAGAAAAAATTTTTTGAGACAGAGTTTTGCCATGTAGTCAACGCTGACCTTGACTAATTAATGGTGATACGCCTGCCTCCACCTCCCAAGTGCTAGGATTACAGGCAAGTGCCACCATGCCTGGCTTGTCTTCTTGACTGAACAAATATAAATCAACCCATAAGCACATAGTGTAATGAATTTTTTTTTCCTCCTCTTCTGCCAGAGAAGAATAGGAATAGCTGTTTTAAAAAACAATGTAGGTAAATAAAGATTTAGGAAGTGTGTTAATAATGTCAGAGTGTAAGAGAAGTAGGAACTGCCTGTGTTCTATTCTTACTATTCCTTTCTATTTATTCACATTCCAAGGATTCAAGACTTTTCGTGAAAGCTTTGGGGCGAACATCAAGAGCTTTTTTAAAAGTATGATCTTGAGTTTTCCTAAGAGATTTTCTTAAATAAAAGGAAGAAATGAGAAGCACTGTTGGTAAACAAAAGTATGAGGTTTTATGGGGATTAATTTTATGGGGAAATATATATATATAATGTTCTTCAAATTTTTTTGAAACACAGTTTCACTAATTCATGCTGGCCTCAAACTTATGAGAATCCTCCAGTTTTTGATACAGTAGCCTTGTGATCATACTTTGACTCTTAACATTTTACAGATGCATATAGGTGATAAAACTTAAAAGATGAAATAATATGTCAGATGCATTAAAATAAAACCAGAAATAATGAAATTGGAGAAATGGGCAGATGTTTAGACTATACAAAATTGGTCAGGAATTGATAATTTTTGTAGCTACTTGAAGAATACTTGCAGATTTATTATACTGAGATTTGTTGAAGAGTATTTATTCCTTGTCTGTAATAGCAAAAACAGTATAAACAAAATAAATTCTAATAGGAAACTAGTTAAATAAATTATAATATATTCAAAAATTAAACTTTATGATGCTATTAAAAAGAGTGATATATATATATATTGCTTATATGGTATTTTCTCCCAGATAATAGTGCTAAATTGAAAAGCCAAAGTGTAGGATAGAATATATATGATTCTTTTCTGTAATCATATAGCCATAAAGTAGTTTGGGAGCATACATAAGGGATTTTATTGTGGTTTTGGTTTTTGGTTTTTATGCTTTGTGTGTGTGTGTGTGTGTGTGTGTGTGTGGTTTCTGTTGTTTTGTTTTCTGAGACAGGATTTTACTATGTTGCCCAGGGGACTAGGAACTACTGGGCTCATGAGATTGTCCTGCCTTAGACACCTAAGTAGCTGGGACTACAGGCATCTAGCTAAGAATCAGTAACCATGACAGTAAAGACTGAATAGTTGAAAGAAAGTGGTTTTTACTAGCTTGTTAGGTCTTATTTTTGCTTATCATTTATAATTGTCAGTTTAAACATTTTAGTGTGTTCTTTCTTTTCAGTGCTGGGAAATAGACCCAAGCTAGGCAAGCTGTTTACTGCTGACCTGCATTCCCAACCTTACTATGTTACTTTAAAATCAAAAATAAATTAGAAAGTTTATTTAAAATTACATTCTAGGTATAACTATTAGATTTTCATATGTTAAGTGATTCATACATATTCTCATTAGTGTTCATATCCTCAGTAAAAGAATCAAAATAGCAGCATTGATTTGGTGATAAGATATATTTTATTTTTTACACAGAAAATGATAGAAACCAGTGGAAAGAATAACATACTGGAGATTCAGTTGGAAAAGACTACCTGCTTATTAAAAGTAATTCAAACAAAGGAAACTTCATTTAAAAAAGGTTAGTTCTTTGCTGCCTGAAGAAACAGTAACTCTAATGAGAGTATTTTTAGTATGTTAATTAATAGTGTGTTATGCATTTATAAAATGTTTTAAATTCACACAGAACTTGCCAGGCATGGTGGCTCATGCCTGTAATCCCAGCACTCGGGAGGCTGATACGGGACGATCGTTGGGAGTTCAAGACCAGCCTGGGTTACAAAGTGAGCTCAAGGCCAGCCTGAACTGCATAGCGAGACCCTGTCTCAAAAAAAAGAAAAAAAAAAAAAAAATTCACATAGAACTTTTCAGTCTATCATCTCATTTTATCCTTAGTATTACTCTAAAAGGGTAAGATTTCTATTTTTTATCCAACTTCAGCAAGAGAAATAGAATGATAGAAGTTAAATAATCTGTCTGAAGCTACTCATTTAAGAAGTAGCAAATTTTAATACATAAGCCTATAAAACCATAGTGGGAAATCTATGTTTTTGCATAACATCACAGTTATGCAAAAATAAAAGTAAGATGAGTTGATAATTTTAGGACTAAAATTGAAAGTTTTGCATTTATATATTTTGCTAGGACAGTTAGAGGACATAAAAGTTGCCATACCTCAGTATCATTGGAGACACCTAATACATATATGTTGATGTCTCATTCAATAATCTAATAATAAGAACTGGCTAGAACTAGGGCAGGAAATAAATAATATAAACTTGAAGTATCATGTAGTGCTAAAAAGTAAAAAAGTGCCCAAAAAGAAAACAAAACCTTCAATAATGCAGTAAGTCAAAAGGAACAAAGAGATCAGCTGAAAGAGCTCCCACTATGCAAAGCTGGAGCAAGCTGATCAACAAAAACAATAGTGCTGGGGCCAGGGATTTAGCTCAGTGGTGTAAGTAAGTACCTGCTTGGCAAGGGCAGGGTCCTGAGTTTGATCCCTGTACCAAAAAAAAAAATAGCATTGTATTATAACCCAAAGTGGATATCCACAAATTCATTCTCTTATGTATAGACAAACAAATTAATAAGTAAATAGAGGGGAAAGAACAAAAGGCTAGGGGAAAGTAACTACACAGTAGGAAAACCAGATAAATACTGCCTAAACTGTATGATCAAGATCAATACCAGAAGTAGTATCATGTTGGTATTATGTACCCTTAATATAATATTATGAAAATGACACTTTACCTCTATGACCTTTCTCCCCACAACCCATAATACCAGTCTAATCAAGAGACAAACATCACACAAATTTTCTTAGAATGACATTGCAAAATACCAGGCTAGTACTTAGAAAAACTTTCAGTCATCAAAAACAAGGAAAATTAGAATTATTACAGCCAAAAGAAGCTTAAGAGAAATGACAGATACATGTAATATAGTATGGTAGCTGAGATCCTAGAACAGAAAAAAGACATTGAGGAAACACTAAGGAAATCTGAATAAAGTACAGATTTTAGCTAATAACATGTCAACATTGGTTCATTATAACAAATATACTAATATACAGTGTTATAATAATAATAGAGTTGACTACATATAGGATATATTATAACTTTTATATCTTCACAATTTTTCTCTACATCAAAAAATGTCCTAAAAAAGTTTATTAAAGGTCAAAAGATGAAACAACCAAAAGAATAAAACGTGTTTTTTATTTTTATAATTTAGAAGACATTTCTAAGTGTGTGATACAGCATGTAGAAATGAACAAAGATTTTGTTAGTTTGAATGTTTAATTAATAGAATTTTTAGAGCAGTTTTAGATTTATAGAGGAACATAAATGAAAATACAAAGAATGCCCATATAGTCTCTCATGCCCTCCAATTTCCCTGTTTCACACTTGTGTGGTACATTTGTTGTAATTCTTGAAACATTTAAGTGAAATCCATAGTTTACATTAGTGCTTAATCTTTATGCTGTGCATTCTGTGAGTTTTTGCTGTCAACCTGTATGTGTAGACTTTTATGTGGACAGAAGTTTCAACTCACTTGGGTAAACACCAAAAAGTGCAATTGTTGCATCACAGAGTTAAGAGCGATCAAGATTGTAATATTAGTTTTGAGGACCAAACACTGTAGAAAACTTCTTTAAATACTTCTGTTACTCAGGTTTCCGTTACTATTACAAATACCTAAGATAACTTAAAAAAAAGAAAGATTTATTTGGCTTACAGTTTTTCATAACCAACTGGCACCTTTCCTTTTGGTTTTTTGTTTGTCAGTTGGTTTTGGCTGGCTTTTGTTTTTTACTTATGGGTGTTGATTTTTTCATTTGTTTATTTTGTTTTTTCTGTTTGAGACAGTCTTACTAGGTTGCCCATGCTTGTCTGAAACTCCTTAATTCAAATGATCTCCCCACCTCAGCCTCCCAAGTAACTGGAGTCACACCCAGCTGGCCTTGGGTATGTCACTACACCTGGCTGGTCCTGTTGCTTTAAGTTTATAGCAGCACATCATACTGGTTGTGCATGGCAGAGGAAGCCTACTCACCTCATGGCTAGGTATGAAAGGAAGGAAGAGACCAGGATCATGCAGTTCCCTTTGAAGGCATGCACCCAATGACCTAACTTCCTTCTAATAGGTTCCACCTTTTAAAGGTTCCACAGCCTCCCAAACCTTTAACATATAAACTTTTGGGGGACATTTTAGCTCCAGACTACATTAGTCCTTTAATTGCACTTAATATTTCTAACTGCTCTATGAAATACGAATTAATTCCCAAGTTGCTAAACCCTATATTTAATATCAAATCCTAATTTTTATATATTGCTTATTAATTTTTATAATAAATAGCTTAATATTATGAATTCTGGTTTATAGGAATTTGATAGGACAATATTCTTCATATCATGTAGTAAAATCAAACAGAAAAGATAATGTAGATTAAGATTTGCAAAGAAAATTGAAAGCCATTTGAAATCACAAAATGGTATTGGAGTTTATGAAGAATTCTTTGTTGAACTAATTTCCCTGTAGAAAAAAGTGTGGTAAGAGAGCCACCTTGTGTTCACATTTTGGAAATACACTTTTTTATTTGTGCATACCAGTAAGACAGAATACTAATGTTCATTGATGTGTTAGTACGTGCATATAATACATTTTGATCATTTTTATTACCCTTCTCCCCCTTTCCTCTGTCTTGCACTGATCCCATTCCTTCATTTCTAAAAATCTACCTTCTGGTTTCCTATCATCACTCCTTAAGAAAATACACATTTTGGAGACAAATCCAATGTACTTTCAGTTGCTAACTAGTGAGGTAACAAGTTACCATATTTCATTCATTGCTAGATTCATTACAATAAAAGATACAAGGACAAGTGACTACAGGAAGTATCTTTATTTTTGAACTGTATCAGCTAGCACAAACCAAGTTCTCAGCTAACGTCTATCAAACATAATTTAACATTCCATTACTGGAAAACTGCAAAGTAGAGATAAGTAATGATGGTGAGATCTTTGTGTGGATGTTAGGTACAACAGGGAGAAGAAAAAGTGAAAGGCCACAATAGTTGAACCTAATATTTACACAAGACTTTTTAACTTTTGCAGAACACTTTTATTTCTATCAGCATAGATGAAGAAAGTATATGGCAACTTAGGCAAGACCTTCTAATCAAAAGGTGAATCACAATATTGGTTCTTGCATTTAGTCAACAGAATGAATATTATTTTCAGGAGAGCTTTTCCACTTAGCCCTTTGCTGCTCAGACTTACAGCAAACTGCTTATCTGTACATCAATCACTCAACAAATATTTGTGAATTGCCTACAGTGTACAAGTCTTTAAGTACTGGGAACAAATGGCTGGCAATACCAAAACTAGTCCTTGCTGCTATGGAGCCTAAAGACAGACTGCCAAAGTCACAGAACTTCTCAACACTGCTGCTCCACATCAAATGCATGGCTGTTGCTAACAACTAATTGTAATCAAGGCTTAAATGCACATATTAGGACTTTAGTTTTTACAGCAAAGATTCTGTCTTCCATTAATAAACCACTGACAACAAAGTTGCTAATGCTAGGTAAAGTATCATTGAGTTTGTATTAGTCACTTTCAGTTTGCTGAGACAAATACTTAACACCCACACCTTAAAGGAGGAGAGATTTGTTTTGGTTCACAGTCAGTAATGGGTTCAGCCCAAAGTCAGCTGGTTCTAACACAGAAACCGCATCATGAAAGACTGCATTGGGTGGCTGTTTACCTCACAGCAGTCAGGAAGTGTAAAGAGAAGGGAGGAGAAAGAGGTAAGAATACCCTCTTCTAGATGATGCTCCTTCCAGGTGAATACACCCTTCCAAAAGATGCCCACCTCTTCCAACCAGGACCTACCTCCCAATAGCACATTCAGCTGTGAACTCATCAATGGATTTATCCAGTAGTGAGTATATCACTCCAATCTTCCAGTTAGCTTCCAAAACCCCACATCAAAACACAGAAAAACTTGGGCTAGGGAGATTTGTAACACATATCATTGAGTAAATGTTTTTGATTGTAATGTCCTTCCTTAAAATTTGGGCATAACTAGTAAGTGAACAAGTTGAAGGACAGTAAGAAAAACATCTTACTATGTCTGTCCTCTGTGTTACATAAAACGATGTAATTTGACTCACTGTTCTTAGCAGGTTTTTCATGAAAAAAATGGATATTCCTCATAGTTCCCCAGGTGGGTCCAGGTGTGCCTTACTTTCAGGGCAGATATTGTTAAGGCACGTGGAAGGATCTCTACTGTACGGTGCCTTAGAAAACTCTTTCCTAAATCTTGTAACTCACTTGACTTAAAGAGTGACTAAAAAGTATTTGTCAGCTAGGCACACTAAGCACACCTGTAATCTCATCTTTTTAGGGAGCTGCGGCAGGACCATCAGGATAGCCTGAGGCTATCCTGGGGACCTTAATGAGAACCTACCTCAAAATAAAATAACTCAGAAAGAATTGTGGCTGGAGATATCACTTAGGGGTAAAATGTTTGCCTAGCACATGCAAGGCCCTGGGTCCAATTCCCAGTACTATGGAGAAGAAAGGTATTATGTAATTTACTTAGAGATATTTACGTCAGTGAGAAGTTACCATTTTAACTATTTCAACTGAGAAGGTAATTCCAAAATAAAGGTAAAGGATTTTCAGATAAATTTATCTTGTGTTTTAGAATGTGCTGCTCTTCATGATATGATAAAAGGGCTACAGCAGACTATTGAATATCAACACAATTTGAAAGGTAAGTTGGAGAAAAAAACCTAAGAAAGCATCATTGGTTTGAACGTCTGTTAAAAAATAATTTTTTAACTTTGTTGACAGTCAGTTCCTATTAAATGAGAATCAGTTCATCAGCTGGTAGCAAGACTTATATTTAAAAATACTTTTTTTTTTCTTGTCTTTTTCGTTTTTATCAGTACCAGGGATCGAACTCACTACTACCTGCTTGCAAAGCAGGTGCTTATGCCGCTGAGCTAAATCCCCAGCCCTTAAAAATACTTTTGAAAGATTATAAAATAAATACTGTGATGAACAGAACGATTCCATCATTCTGTCTGAAGTAAATCAGATGTTTTATGGTAGATCATAATTGTCCTTTTATTACTTTTAAGTGTTTAGAAGTATACTGTTGTCCTTCAGTGTCCACTAGGAAATATTTCCAGGACCATCACAAATACCAAAAGTCTGTAGAAACTCAAGATACCTCATATAAAATACCATACTATTAGCATAAAATCTATTTCCTTTACCCGTACTTTAAAACATCTCTACATTAAAATACCTTACACAATGTAAATGCTATATAAATAGTTATACTGTGTTACTTGAGAAAAAATGATAAGACAGGAATCTAGATGTGTAAAATACAGACACGATTCTTTAAATATTTTTGACTCATTGTTGGTTGAACCCAGGTATGGTGGATTGAAAACTGATGGTCAACTTAAACACCGGTGAACTGAATCAATGTAGTGCTGAGTGTAGATGGCCCACCTGAGAACTATTGCCAGCATAAAAAAGGAGACCTGTAAAGGAAGAATAGTGTTGTTTGGTGCTGTTGTTTCTACTGTTGCCATGGGTTCTCTTGGAGGAGCTTGATGAGCTTCTTTCCTAATAATGAACTTGGCTGTTTTCATCGTCAAAGGAGCTTAGGGCTTTGTTGTTGCTGAGAATGTATTGTGTTTTACTTTTGGGGAGCTCTGGTCCTTACGATGAACATCACTTGCTGACTTCAGAGGGGAAGATGATGTGCTGCTCAATCTCCATGAGAAGGTTGTCACGCTGTCTTCCAGATATGAATTCAACTATTCTCATTATTGAAGGAGTCTAGAACCTTGTTGTTGCTGAGGATGGCTGTGGTACTTTTCAGAGGAGCCCTGGTGTTTATTTTGAGGGTTGCTTCTTGGCTCCAGTATAGAACCTTCATCCTACTGGCACAGATCCCTCATCCCGCTGGCACAGACTTTCTGGCTTCCACCACTGACCTTGGGCCTTCGCAGAGAAGATCCATGAAATAGACTTGCATGAGTCATTGTTGTAGACTCCAGGCCTCCAGTTGGACTCATGGGGGCCATTGTCATGGGCTCTAGGTTTTTAGCTGAACTCATGCAGGATATTGCCATGAGATTCAGGCCCTCAGTTGGATTTTTAGGTCTTTAGTATGTGGTCAGATTTCCTGTACTTCCTTTGTATTTAACTCTTTGACTAACCATTATATAATAATACTATAAAGGTATGTGTCCTGTATGTAAATAGTTTTCCTTGCAAATTCCTGATTACATCACCAGGGGAACTCACACATGCAAAGTTCTATTTATTTTTATTGCCATTCTTGATTCTTTATAAACGTGTTCAGTTTTGAAAGATAGACGTTTACTAGTTAAACCATGAATATTCTTTGCAAGCCACAATAATGATTTACCATTTAATTTTTTGTCATAGACTAGGACTGTATTTGTTCAAGAAGCCAACATACTTACTTTCTTATTTTTAATAATTATGCTAACTCAATGAGCCTGACATGTGCAAAACAGGGACCAAGTGCTCTATACTCTTCCTAATTGGCTGTAAGATTGCCCTCTACTGTATCAGTTATTAGACTTAATTACCTTAATCACCTCTGCCAACATAAAACATCAAATAAGTATTTATCTTAGGCTTCTCTTTTCACTCATGAATAAAGCAATTTACATATGTTAGTGAGGTAAAATATTGATGTTAAGTGTCATTTCTTTAATTTGGCATGTTACTGTGTTTGTAATTTTCTAGTTGAAAGATATCTCAAAAAATAATATTAGTTTTAGTTTTTACTTTCCTCCCATTTCTCTTCCCTAAAATTGAGGCCATCATGATACTATCTTAAAGCTGAGGACTCTGAACAATTTTTCCCTCCTATGTGACACCTATGTGGTTTAAATAAATATGTGGAAGTAAGTGGTCTTTTCCAGGCCTCTTATCCCAGGAACCAAATAATATTTAGTTTAACTCCTCCAGAATTTCATTCAAAAGAAAATAACTATTATAAATTAAATACTTTAAAGTTCTATTAAAAATTATGAATGTATTAGCCAGTGGCTTTTATAAACAGTACCAAATAATTATCAACAGTCAAACACACCATCTTTTCACAGATTTGGCAGTACAAATTTTTTTCTTTCAAATTTTATTGAGATAAAATTGACAGTTACAATTATATATAAAATGTACAATTTGATGATTTGATAGTGAAATAATAATGTTATGGCTTGTGTTTAGTTACCCCCCCCAAAGCTTCATGCAGTCAAAGGTGAGGCTTTTTCAGAGTTGGTTAAATCTACAGTGTGTGATTGATTCATAATGCAATTTTAGGATTAAGGGTGGGGCTATATCAGTCCACTAATTAGTTTGGCACTGCCTTAATCCTGGCCTGGATACAATATAAGGTACAGAAAGAGGCTTGTCTTGCCCCTCTTGCTTGCTTTGCCAACTTCACCCCTCCATGAACTGTTTTTCCTTTACAATTCCTGTCTGTCCTACCAGCTGCCTTGGAGCCAGCTTATTGTGGACTGAAACCTCTACAAACTGTGAGATAAATAAACCTTTCTCCCTTTAACTTTGGGTGCCTGGTATTTTGTCTAAGCAACAAGAGAAAAATAACCAAGACAATTCACCACCATTATTGGTTAACATCCATTACCTTTCTTTTTTTTTTTTTATTTAAAGAAAAAGAAAGGACATAAAAAAGCAGTAAAAGAGTACAAGTAATACAGAATTTCAAGAAAAAAAATATACCGTAAGAAATCACTGGTTAATAGCTTGCATATTGTCTTCCTAGAAACAGTTGTCCAAATTATAAAATTAAAACATATGAAGTGGATATTCATACAGTGATATTGGAGACCATTCTGTTCAGTGATCCAACAAAAGCTCAGTAATATGGTTTTCCATCCTACCCACTCAAACATACCTGCGGTTATATCCCTTAGTCCACCTTCCTTTCCTCTCTTTTTTACAATAACAATTACACTTTTTGGGTTTTATTACTCCCACAGTTCTTATTACTTTTTTTTTAAGAGAATACAACCAAACGTGACTAAGCAAAACAGAGTCAGAACAGAAGGGTGGGCATAGTACATGATGCAAAAATAGAAACCCAGGTGATCTAAAGTGGTGAACATTGTGCCTCTTGCTATTTTTAAATTGAGTTGCCTATATCATCAGGTATAATAGAATTGATCAAAACAGTGCAGAACAAAACCAATAAAACCTACACTGGAGACCTTACAGGATTTCAAAAAAAGATAACAGTCAAACCATAATGGCCATTATAGTGTATCTTATTGCCTTCAAAGTGGTTGCCTATACCCTCAAACTTGATACTATCAAACAAAATAGAATATAGAATAATCAGACAAAACAAGATGGGGAGAGCAATACTGGGGTTCAAATCAAGTTAATAGGAAAATAAAAAAGTTACTATAATATGTCCCACTATTTTTTAGTTGTTTTCCCTTAATTAAAAAAATGAGAGAAAATAGATTAATTTTTAAAAAGGGAGGAGATTTAGATAAAAGAGGACATTGTAACAGAATAGCACAGGTCAGAACCGAACAATTTAAGCATCATTGTGTTTCACCACCAGATAATCTAACATAATAGTAGTCGCCATAGTGCCTCTTTCCTTGAATTATTTGAGTGTAACTTCGTATGCTATAGCATCAAGCATATCAAGACAATGTGAAGCCCTTCAAGAGAATGAAAGAATTGCAGGGTATTTAGAACCAGCTAATAAAAAACAAACAACAGTTTCTAGATTATCTCTTTGCCTATAAAAAATTTTGTTTATACTATCGCATATAGTGAAATATAGTAAGATACAACATGTTAAAGCCAGTGGAAACAGATGTACCACAGCTTGATGGGACTTCAAAACAAGATGATATTAAATCAGCACTAGCTTTTATGTTGTGTTGTTTTCTTCAAAATAGCTATTCGTACGATCACAGATACTAACCTTTCATAATTATGTATGTGGAGGAGAGGGTAATAACGCTTAAGATCTACCATTCTAGCAAATTTCAAATGTATAATATGGCACATTTCAAGTATATATATATATATATATATATATATATATATATATATATAACGTCATCAATTACAATTCATATTATTGAACTTCAGGTTGTTAAACTTATTTCTCTGCTATAGCTGACACTGCCGTCTTTGACCAAGTACCTCCCCATATATACAACCTCTAGTAACTACTATTCTACTTTCTATAAGTTCAACTTCTTTAGACATATAATTCAAATCATTCAGTATTTGTCTTTGTACATCTGGTTTATTTCATTTGGTATAGTGTCCTCTGTGTTTATCCATGCGGTTACAAATGCCAAAATATTCTTTATCTCTCTAAGAGGTTATTGCTGGAGATCAAATCCAGGACTTCAAGCATAATCACATACTTAACACTGAATTACTTGTTTTTTAAGGCTGAAAATATTCTATTTAATATTTATAATATAATTATGTTACTTCCTTTGTAATTTTCTAGTTGAGAGGTATCTTTAAAACTACCATTAGTTCTTACTTTCCTCCCATTTCTTTTCTCTGACCTGCAGGCCAGTATACCACCATCTCAAAGGTGAGGATTCTAAACTGTGATGCCTATAAATAAATATGTGAAATTTGGTTTACCTGTTTCAACAACCCAATGATTTTCTGTCCAGTAGCTAATTTTTCTTCTTAAAAAAAAATACAGTTTTTTTTCTGAAATTAACCCTTTGTTTACTTAGCCATCTTCCTCAGGGGAAGTTAATTGTACCCCAGCTCTGAGAGAGGAAATTTTCTTCTCCTACAAGAGATTGACTCTGTTTTCCTGGTTGTTATGTGACTATGTGTGATGCTGGAAATTGCTTCACACTTCTTGTTTGCAGCCAAAAGATCACCCTCGCACTGAGGATGGCAGATGACTCTAAAATAATCTAGTTTCTTAATATCTTTATTGACCTTGTAAATCAATTACCCTTGGTATTTGTGAGCCTTTTCAGTTACAGTGAAAGAAAAGTTATAGCTCCTTTTATATGCATAAATCTTTCCAGTAGGAATTTATGGCTTGTATAAAAGATGATATATTCAGATACAAGAAAAAGATTGAAATTCTTGTTTACATTTATTTTTATCTAAAAACATCAAAGAAAAAATCAGGGATTTTTAATAGATGGAATAATGTTCCTTATTCCATAGTTAAATTCATTGCGTATCATTCGTCACACATAAGTTTATTCTGACATGGAGAATGGGACTTCTAAAATTGAGCAGTTAAATGTTTATTATTTCCTCCAGTTTCAGTGTATGGTGTATAGTACAGTACATGTAACTGCAATTTCCTTCCTATCCCTAACTCACAGCTCAGGTTGTACCTCTTCTCCAAAGTTTCTCCTGACTTCATAATAAATTGTTTCTTCCCCAAGTTCCCTCAGTCTTTCAGACATTCTTCTTACCTCTAATCATGACATATTATAAATACTTATATGTCTGTTTCACCACTAGACTATCTCCACTGTAAAAAACAAAAACTTTCTGTTCCTATACTCCCAGTGAAGGTGCTAGATATATATTTGTTGAATGCCTACATTAAAAGAAGCGAGAATGTTCAGTGCATTGCCGTATTAAAAATGCTATAAATTTGGTTGTTCTTTGATTATGTTCACATAGGTGAAAATGAAGAACTGAAAAGAAATGCTGATTTAGCAAAAGAAAAGCTAAAATCTCAAGAGCAGGCAAGTTTATGTATAATTGTATTTAATTAGATCCTTATAGAACATTTGTTTATTCAAATTATAAAAAGGTTGTTCTTATTAATAAACAAAACCAACATTTATATGTAGATATAATATATATCTGTATTTTTTGTGTGTTGAAATTATTAAAAAGTGAAAACTTATTTTAAAACTGATCCAAGTTTTGAGACTCCTAATCTTTTTGTTTGTTTGTTTTTATTAGGACATATTTGTAGTACATAATGTTTATATTTCTTGTGTGGAGTTGGTAAATGTATATAATACATCTTAATTCCTTTTATTCATCCCTTTCCCTTCCCTTCACACATATCTTAATCCCCTTCTCATTTAAGAAAGACCTATTTCCCTACTTCCTATTATCTGTCTTTTATTTTGCTCTTTATTTTGACTTTAGGTTTCTCATATAAGAGAAATCATGTGATATTTAAGCTTGTGTGTTTGTTTTATCTCACTTAACGTTATGTCTCAAGGTACATCTATTTTCCTACAGATAAATTTATTTTTCTTTATGGCGGAGTGGTACTCCATTGTGTATAAATGTCATGTTTTCTTTATCCATTTATCTATTAATGGCCACTTCCAAGATTTACTTATTATGGATTGTGCTGTTGTGGATCATAACTACATGTCCCCCTACAGCCTCATGCAGTCATAGATAGGACTTTTTGGAGGTGGCTGGATCTAGAGTGATGCTGGGATTAAGGATGTGATGCTGGGATTAATTCATGGTGTGATGCTTAGGATTAAAGGTGCCCTGGCTGTCAGTGCTACTCAACCTAAAGGCAGGTAGCCTGTATGGAATATAAGGAACAGAAAGAGGGCTGTTGTCTCTTTCTGCTTGTAACTTGCTGATTGCTGCTTTTGACGCCTCTAGCCTTCTGTCTTCCATGCCATGAACTGTTTCTCCTCTGCAGTGCCCTTCTGCTATGCCTTCCACCTTAAGACCAGCCAACTAAGAGCTGAAACTTCCACAAACTGAACCTAAATAAACTTCCCCCCTTTAACTTTGGGTGTCAAGTATTTTGTTTCAGCAATGAGAAAAGTAACTAAGACATGCTGCTGTAAGAAAGCATATGCCTGTGTCACTGTAATATGTTTTTAACTATAAATTTTTCCTTATAAAGTGGAATATATTAATGATTTTTTTTGTCTGTTTCCTTTTTATCAGTACCGAGGATCGAACTCACGACTGCCTGCTTACAAGGCAGGCGCTTATGCCACTGAGCTAAATCCCCAGCCAAAGTGGAATATATTAATACATCATTTTTCTTCCTAACTAAAAGAGCCCTAGTTATTTTGCTACACATTTTTCATTGCACTAATAGTGTTTTATGCTAGTGCATGCTCTATTGATTAACATTTTAAAACTTTTTTATTATAAAGTAAATCAGTCTGTAGTTGTTTTATGATATGGATAATCATTGCATCATCCAAATAAAGTGAGCATTTTATGTGGATCACAAATTAATTACTTCCCACTGGCCACCATACCCTCTGCTGCATTTTTTCTCTTCTATAGGAACAGTACAATAATAACAATTGCAGAATGTATAACACAGTGCTAAAGAAACAAAATGTATTTATTGAATGTGAGGTGCCTCTCTTTGCTCTTTGGGAGGTTTATCATGGTAACATTTTATTATCTCTCAAGAGCCAATATATCAACATCTGACAAATCTGAGGTCTCCAAAACTCAGGTTGGATCTATAATAGACTTTAACAGGAAGGATCCTTTCTAAATCCAGTATGATCCCTCATGTAAGGAGCCCCTGAAAGAAATAAACTAATTCTGGAAACCTGCCCAGGACTCCATGAGTAATATTCTCTGGTCTTGGAGGTAATTTTGGTTCTGTGCTTGGAAAATCTAGCTCTGCATCATCAGTTTTGAGATAGTTTAAGTACCTCTGAGATGCACAACACTCTTTTTTCCTTTTCTTTTCCTTATTTCCTTTATTCTTTCCTGAGCCCATCCATATCTTGGCTGTAGAGCCTGGGTCACATTGAGTGAAGAGAAATTGTTCTGGGCCACGTATCAAATATGTCAGGTAATGTGTGTAAGTAACAACATTTCTTTTGTTTTTTATATTTTAACTTTTTGTGAAATAAACCCACATTTAAATAAGTAAAAAATTCACACACCTGTTTAGTTATAGTAACCACCTGTCTTCACCAGCACACATGCATATAGAGAAGTTGAAATACCATTGTCAGAAATTGCTGCCTTTTACTCACCAAGCCACACAACTGCTTGTAACCTCTGACACACAGATTCATTATGCTGACTGTGGTGGTCACAAGAGGCAGAGTTAGTATGCACAGTAAAGTCATAGAAATATCATTAAAGTTCACATAATAATGTTAAAAGTTTATGATCTTGTGGTACTACATTCACAGCTGTCCAGACCTACACAGCTCCTATGCAATGGGTTAGACATACTTGCTTTAGATTTTAGGCAATGAAGTCAGCTTCTACCTGAAGCAAAAAAAAAAAAAAAAAAACAACTTCACCTTTTCCCTTCTAAAACTTCAAGCCCTAGAATATTACTTTGTCTTCATATTATATGAATGTTCAAAGAGGTGGAAAATAAAGAGAAAACCATGTACCAAGATTCTGAATTTCTTAATCAGCTTCCTTGCAATGGAAACTAAAAAGTTACCTTGATCAAATGAGAATCGACTGATACAAAACCTCCAGGTACAGCCAACAGTTATGGAGAACCACTTTTTAGAAGGAATCTGTAGATTCTTAATGGTAGTATTTGTGGTACTTGGAGGATTTTTATGACTTAAACATAGAAAACGCTTAAAAAGAATATGAGCAAAGACTATCCCTTGAAATTTAATGTTCCCAGAAAACAAAGGAGAAAAAAAAGAGCAACCAACTGTGATTTATTTCTTGGTCCCCTTAGAAAAAAGAAGAAAGTAAATCCATTATCTGAGGCTTAAGTGAAGGAAAACATACTGATAAAGTCTAGCTCAGCCCAAACGTTAGGATAACTCTTATGCCTGGAGGTAGGAGTGAAAAAATCATCTCATTACCACTTTAATGGAAGAATCTTCAGGTAGCAAAGGCAGTAGAGATAGAAGGGTACACAGAACATTCTCTTGTGGTTTCTCAAAGAAGCAAATATATTCATTGTTGTTTTTTGAAGCCATTCTGTTGGGGGCTTTTCTAATTGACTGTCTGGAAACCTAGACACATATATTAAAAAATTGCAACTGTGACATTCAGCCTGTTATTCATCTACAGCAGTTGGGTAGGATTGGCCATTCTTACAATTGAATGGCAGGATGAGTAGCACAAATAGGAATCTGGACTGTATCCTTTGAACTAGGGTAATCTGAAACAATATATGTCTGTTTTTAACCATAGATGTCAGGCAGGTGCTTATGACACCGAGCTAAATCCTCAGCCTGTTTTTAACCATAGATGTATAAACCAGTACATTTTGACTCTTTTTGTTGTCTTGTTTGGTCTTATCTCCTCAATACCACTGAATATCTGTTAATAGTTATGAACTGTCTCGGAGAAAAATATACAAATTTTGCATAAAATTTCAGGAAGTTAATGGACTCTGGAAAAATGCATTCGTTTTGTCTAGGCTAAGAGCTCTGATCTAAATATTTCATATTGGCATTCCAATTCAACAAATGTACATCAAGATATTAGTGAGTGGGGGAGGAAGAAAGGAAGAGATGAGATTGAGATAGAGATAGGGAGAATGCTTTGGTAAGTCCTAATTCTTATGATGTTTAAAGACTTTTTTAGAATACTTGCCTTTGTTATTCTTTCCTACTATCCTACTTAGCTTTTATTTTTCTGTATTCTTTTTCTCTTGCCTACATTTTAGGCCTGTAACTAATTTCTTTGTGTACAACAATAACCCTGGCAAATTGTAAAATTTATCTTTGAGGGATTCCTCTCCCGTTACTACACTGAACATTCTTTTCCCTATTGGCACAATTAGTCATCCTTTTGTATCAGTAATCTATGAAGGTAATTTCAACAACTGTCGAGAAATTTTCAAATTTCAAATTTATCTTTCTTTTGGTGCTTCCTCATAAAATTAATCCTTACCATGGGTACTTCTCAATCTTTTTCTAGGAATTAGGAATATTTATATAATTTTGAGAAATACATGTTCAGCTCACTTTCAAAAATTACAGTAATTTTTCTAGCTATATGACTGTACCTTCTATAAACTATAAAATATAAACTATAGCTTTGGTTTATATTGTATTTTAATATTGTAAGGGCATTTACTCATACAATACAATCAAATATTTTAAGTATGTATAATATGCTAAACACTGATGATGAATATTCAGCAAATGAAGATAAAAAAACATTGTTTCAATAACAAAAAATTCAAAAAGTTGGGTATGGCTGCATCTACCTGTAACCTCAGTACTCAGAAGGCTGAGGCAGGATTGCCACAAGTTCAAGGCCAGTTTATTCTACATACTGAGACCTTGTCTTAAAAAAAATGAAACAAAGACATTGTTTTTATATCCTTACGTCAGAAATTGGTCTTTGTCTTGGAAAGCACAGAAACAGAAGATATAGTACTTGTTTAATGGGACCTGTAATTACTGGGGATGCTAGAACAGAAGTTGTGGTAGGGAAGACATGTGTGAAACATGTAATTGAAACGTAGTAATGATAATTAATGACAATATTCTTGAAAATTTGCTAAATCATAAATTTTAAATATTCTAGCCACAAAAAAGTGAGATAATGGTTATTTTAATTAGCTTGATTTTATCATTTTAATATATACTTTATAAGTAAAATATACTTTATAAGTAAAATATTATATTTTACTTACAATTTTTAGGAACATATGAATAATATCGCCAAACTCGAATATGAAATGAAAATCAAAGAGGAGCAACATAAGGTAGAAATAAGCAGACTTTATCAAGATATGCAGAAAAAAGGTAAGATTTTTATCTATTGAATTGTATGACATAATAAAAAAAATTCAAAGGTACATGTAAATTTTCTGAACAATAGGTAGTATTCTTGAGTGAACACTGCCTTAAGATAGGTTTTATGCATTGCCACATATTAACCTGCTATAAATATATGTTAATTAAAAGCAAAATGTGATGCTGGGACTGGGAGGAGCCCATCAGGAAGCCAGCTAGCCAGCCTTTCTGGTAAGCTGTGCAAGCCATGCGGGCCCAAGAAGAGAAGTCATATAGTCCCTCCTGTGAGTCTACTGGTGTGCTGGCGGAGAATTAATCCTAACCACCACCACCAACACTACCCCACCACCTGTAAGTAGCCAGCTGGTTCAGTGGATAGGCTGAGTTAATAGCTACTGAAATACAAAGAGCAACTGAATGCTTGCATTGTTTGGAGATTTTGCAGGCCTGGGCCTGACGTCTTAGCATCTATTGGGAGGATGACAGTATGCAGTATAACAAATATGGAGATTTTCTTCTCTCTTTGAAGTCCATTATTGTTCTCACTGCTTTCTTTTGTTATGATTAATTATTTTGCTTTCTTCAGTGTTCTGTATTCATTGGTTTTATTCTGTTTCATTTTGGTTTGATTTTGCTATGTCTATGGAGTGGACAACTAATGTGAACATAACAAGATATACTATAGGAGCTATTGTTAATTTCCTAGTATCCTGCTTTGAAGTTCTGTACCAATTTCACTAATTTGTTTTGATTGACTTTATTCTGTTTTATTTTGTTGCATTTTATCTTTAAAATAAAAAATAAATAATACATTTTAAAAAGCAAAATGCAAATTAAAGCTACAATGAAATACTACATGTCTTAAAAAACCAACAGTCATTAAAAGCTATCAATGCCAAGTGTTGATGAGGATGTGGAAATTGGAACTCTTAGGCACTGCTGATGAGACTATAAAATCACACAGCCTCTTTAAAAATTGTCAGTTTCTCTTAAAATTTAAGAGACAGTGAGTTAATTTGGGTCCTCTGAGAAGCAAATGCTAAGACTTGATTAGACATTTGTGCCGATCAGTTTTCCTGTTACTGAGAGATAATATCCAACACCTAGAATTTAAAGGAGGAAAAGTTTAATTTATCTCTAGTTTGGCTCATGGTTTCAGGAGAGTACACCATGGTCAGCAGTCTTCAAGGCAGAAACTTTGTGGCAGAAGGGTGTGGCAAAGCAAAGCTGCCTAGTTTTTGGTGACCAAGGAGCAAAGTGAGGTAGTACCAGAGAGGAAGAGTGAGGGTCCATGTATAGTAGTACCCAAGGCCCAACCTCCATGACTCTCCCACGTATAACCAGGAACATGCTTTACTAATCTGCTCAGTGTCTCTTAGTCTGATGAAGTTGATAGAGCAGCACTGATGATCACAACATTCAATAAATTTTCTGGCGAAAACATTTATGAAGGCAGATAGGGAATTAGAAGAGTGTGGTGTGAACTGTCAGTTCTGATACAAACTGAAAATCATGTGCAGAAGCAAAGGAAAGAAGGAATTTTGAGTGGGAAAAATCTTTGACCATGACCCATTTCTAAGAAAGTTTCAGTAAAACTGAGAAAAAATTGCCCATGAAAAGAGTTCTGCAACTTTCAGAAACAAGCTTGCCTTACTCTGTGTACCACAACCACTTATTGGCTAGGAGCCCCAACCTGGTCATGAAAACTCTAAACCAATTTTGCTATCTCACAGTGTAGATATAAAAGATACATTTTCATAGCTACAGCTGTTTACCCTTTGGCTACACATTTAATTTCCACCTGGGTTCAGGCAGCAGCTTTTCAGTGGTTCCTGTGGGCCTTTCTTCAGGGTACTCTTAGAAGAGAGGTTTCAGAGTGTTTTATTTTTCCTAGTGACCTAAATATATCTTCAACCAGTCAATTCTAGATCCAAAAAGCTGGTTTGCGTCTGGAAGCTAAGCAGATGATTTCTTCATTGGAGCACTGCAGAGGCTTGAATATGGTTTTGTATCCCCCCAAAATTTCATTGTGATTAAATGATTAGGGTCACATTGCTGAGAGGTGGAGCCTATTGGGAGGTCCTTAGGTCATCAAGTATCTGTGGTTGATGACCACTTGGTAGTTCTTGTACAAGTCCTTGTGTTATCATGAAAGGATTTTTATAAAAGAAACAAGCTTTACTTCACCTGTCCTCCCTTTCTCTGTGCCTGTTCAAGATGTGACCACATGCCCTACTTATTGACAATGTGATCCCTTGAAACATTTCATGTTTAAGGAGGCTGTGGCGGGAAGACTGCAAGTTGGAGGCCAGTCTGGCAACTTAGTGATACCATTGCAAAGTAGTAAAGGGCTGGTACAGTTCAGCCTAGCATATGTAAGGCCCTGACTTCAGTCCCAGTACCAAAGAGGTAAAAAGCCTAACATTATGGTAAATGAAAGAAACTGGATTTAATGGGCTGCGTATAGTGTGATTCTGTTTATAAAACGTTCTTTTAAAGCCAGGCATTGTGGTATATGCCTGTAATCCCTGCATTTGAGAGGCTGAGGCAGGAGGATTGTTGCAAGTTTGAGACCATTCTGGGCTATGAAGTGAGCTCAAGGCCAGCCTGAACTGCATAGTGAGACCCTGTCTCAAAAAGACAAAAAAAAAAAAAAAAAAAAAAAAAAAAAAATTCAAAAAGGTGCAATTTAGATCAATGTTTTTTAGTACATAAAGAGATGAATTGCAAAGGAGTGTAATCATTAACAAAAGAGAAAATTCAGTGATGCATGCAGCCAAATGTGAAGATGAGAGAAGCCTGATCATATGAATGAGTATAGCAGTGTTGTATCCACCAAAACGAGGCCCCAAGATGTTCAAACACAGGCAAGACGTCTTTAAAAGGAATGCTTTATTTTAGCTGGTACCTAGCGACACAACCTGCATTGGAATCTGCAGAGCTGTGTGACCAGGTTAGGTTACAGGGAGTTTATATAAGGAAAAACCGCAAAGAAGAGAAAAAGGAGGGCTTATAAAAAAAGGGAGTTGATCTGTGCAAAATGTTTTATAACCAAGAGCCAATCGGTCCCAGGACCGAATGTTTTACAATTAGTGGTCAGCAAATGTTTTACAACCAAGGGTCAGTAGGTTTCGGGACCAAATTGCTGTTCTGGAAGGGGGTAATTCATAAGAAACCAGAGTTGAAACAAAGGTCAGGGTAACAGCACTTAAAGAACAGGATAGCGGCGCCTTAGCCAGGCTACAACAAGCAGAGCCTTGTTATAGTTCTGGAGTTGTCAAATAGTGAGGTTCTATAAACCTCAGAATCCAAACTTTGCATCACACTTTAACCACTGAACCTCATATTTTCTAAGTTGTCGATGCTTAAGAGTACAAATTAGTTTCTTTGCCCAAAAGCATTTTATGAGTGACTTTTGTGTTTCAAACATTTTTCAGGATCTTGCCAAAAATATATAAAATCTATCCGACACGTGAAACATAAAACAACTTCTAAAAAGTTTTATTAATTAAATTTACCTTGTTTTGAACTATTCACAATATTGAAGAAGTGTACACATATTTGAAATGTTAAATGAATAAATATTTTGTGTTATTCAGTTGAATTAAATGAAGAAAAGCACAAAGATCTAATAAAGAAAAAGGAGAAAGAAATTTCAGAGTTAACTGAAAAGTTACTAAGTCAAGAAAAGGAAAAGCAAAATGAAATAATCAAACTACAGCTGGAGGTAGGTGTTTAAGAGGCTTGATAAACTTGATAGTGTGTATTCCTTAGTCTGACTCCCTACTTTGCTTTTCATTGCAATGAGACAAATATCAGGACTAGAAACAGTTCTGTGAAAGGGCTTTGTACACCCTAATGCTTTATCAAATGCAGTGCTCAGTCACCAAACAGCTATTATTTGCACTGCATTTTAGCATTTCACCTGCAAGAATTCCAGTTGTTCCAAAAGTCTTGGTTCAGGGGAAGGTACTGTTTCCTGTGAGAGCAGGGACAGATACTTCCACAATTACCTGTATGTTATAGCCAGTATATGCAAGCTTCATAAGACAACCAGTGTTGGAAAAATTTTAACCTTCAACATTACTCTGTCTTCCCTGCAGAAACTAGGGAACCCACGTAAACCAGCTAATTTCTTCTGCTTTTACTTAAAATAAGAAGACACAAATTTCTCCCTATAAATTTCTAGAAAATATGCATTGTGGAGCAAACAAACCAAATTTCTAAAATAATAAAAAAGGAATAATTAAAGATATTTTAAATGGGAGACTTCATACACTAAAGCTCCAGCTATTTGTTCTAAATTTTTTTTAAAAATTGCACACATCACCACTGGATAATAAGCATTTTACTAATATTTTGAAAACTAACATCACTCTACTTATGAATACTGAAAAAGACAGATAAATAACTTTTCAAAAATAAGATGTTAAGCGCCTTTCTATTGGCAAAGATTCTCACCTTAAGCGTAGACGGTTTTGAGTATAATAGTAAATTTATTACTTTTTTAAAAGCAATTGAAAAATTCACTTCAATTTTCAACATAAGCTTAAATAATAAAGAGACAACTTTTAAAAGTTTAATTGAATTTATTTAGACATATCCATACATTGGCCAGTCATGTACTGCATTCTTGCTTAATGGTATTATCCATAGAGTTGTTCAAATTTATAGGGTTTAGTTTACCTATTAAACTATCATTGACTATGGAAATATTCTCTAAGCAGCCTAAGATAAGACATTTCTTTCTTTTCCCTCATAACATTCAAAATTCAGAAGTATAAGATAATGATAGATGAAGAAAAGGAGATACAAAAACTTTTACTTGTGTATAAGTCAAGATATGAGTCTTAGGTATGGAAAAATTAAAAGAACAATTAATGCCATGTGCTTTTTTAGTGAAATATGCATGTGTTAAGAAACAAAATTCACTTTTCTCTAAATGTTTAATCAGTTTAAAATGTAAGATTAAAAAGATAAAGATAATACAGTTTTGAGATAAGTAGAGAAAAAAATGGAAAACATATCTTCATCGTTCTTCCTCCATTCTAAATTACTATGTATCCAACAGAAACCCCTAGGTCATAGTTTATGTTTCTGTTTTCATCAATGCAAATAGAATTCTGGAAAAAGAACAAGAAAGACATATTAACCAAAAGGTGGGATCATTTTTCAGTTGCTGCCTACTAAAAATGTCATTTGGGTAAAAAAAACTTATGACATAAAATTTAGAAGCCAATCCAAAAGATTTCTCCATGTTTGCACAACCTAATTTCTATCTTTAATTTGTTAATTAGATAGTTTATAAAAATTTTGGAAATGAAACTCGTCTGCAAATTAATTTGAGGAGTGTATCTTAAATATTTAGTTTGAAGGTCATTTTCACTTTTGTGCCATATTTTTTCAACTTCAATTAGGATTGGTTTCTGTGGGTTTCTGCTGCGGACTTACTTGTCAGGGAGCTAGAGGCAGTCGACACTGACAAGATTCAATGACTTTTTCCTCTCCAAAAAGTCCCTCACAGCTGCATAAAGATGGGAGATTTTCTGCACACTGACAGGTGACTGAAGACCCTGGTTGTTCAAATACTAGATGTCGACAATGGCAGCAACAGCTACTAGGAGCTGAGTGTGAATTTTTGGGTGGCTTACACAGTACCTGGGTTTTACATCCCTTGGGGCAGAGTTTCCTTAATTGAGGTGAAGGTTGGAAACCTTCACCTGGTACCATATCTCAGCTTGGTGAGTGAACCTGCCTAGGCTGACCCCGGTGGAGGTTATGAAGGCCTAGTGGAAGGGATTGCACAGGATTATCTGGTGCTTCTGGTTCCCTGCTCCCGAGATATGGATGCCCCCGCTTGGGAGGATGGATCTGACGGTGGTGATGTTTCTGTGGAGCCTCAGTTGTTACTGCAGCCAAAGATACATTTTTACAGAAGTCATCATCTTCAAGGTTCTGGAATGAATGTACAAAGCACTTTCATTAAGCTTATACATTTGGGGCAGGAATACATGAAAAATCATTTGTAGAGCTAATATATATGAACTTCCAACTGGTGATTTAGGATAGATTTGGCTTTCTCCTTCTAGCATCATATTAATGAAAAAAGTCTAATGTTAGTCTCAACATCTAAATTTTTTACTAAAGACTTAAAAAGAAAGCCAATCTACTTTACTTATCTGCAGAAGCAAAAACTAAGAAAACTGGATAAAAGAATTTATATTGCAGCAATGTCAACCTAATATCAAATCATAAAATCACTAGACTGACATGGAATCTTTCACATCTGTGTCAACAGTGTATCTATTCTAGTACTGTTTCATTGAGTAAAATGGCTTCTCTCTGCTAATTCAAGAAAGCCAATAAAATTGTTTAAATTTTCAGTGTTTCATCCTTTGACATATGCCAGGAAATGTTTTGAACTTAACCAAACCTTTGCAAATATGTCTACTGTATTTCTATCAAGTGAAAGCAAATTACTGCCCCTTTCTCACTGACCATAATCTTCCCTTCTATATGTCACTAGTTCCTTAATTAATTGAAAGTCTTATTTTATAGTTCCCATGAACACAAATTCAAGACCTCTCAATATATCAGCATAATATTAAACCCGAATCTAAAGTTTGTAAGTAAAATTACAAAATCAACTTGAGAACTCAAAGACTCAGAAGTATGGCTTAATTTAAAGGTTCTGAACAGTTATGAATTCCTCTGTATTCTTAGCATAGAGCTACTGAGGGATGCAGTTTTTGGACTCTTTAGGATTTACTTCTAAATGAGAACTTAGTATTTAATTATAAGATTATAAAAAATAAATGTTCAAAACCAAGCAGTGAGTCAAAAGAATGACAATTTCAAAGCCTGCCTGAGCCACTTAGGGAAACCCTGTCTAAAGTAAAGTAGGCCTACACATGTAGCTCACTGGTAGATCACTTCTCTAGCATGTGCATTAAATACAAATAGCTATACTAGCAAGCTAATTAGTTTCATAAAATCTGTTAACTATTTCACTGATCCTATGGCACTTCTGTGATACTATTTCTAACATTGGGGTACATCTGAGTATATTCTATGATACTATTTCTGACATATCTGACTATATTCTGTAATACTATTTCTCATATTAGACTATAGGCTACTGATGGTGTTTTATATTCTGCAATACTTTAATTGCCAGCATTTTTTCTTAATATTATGTTAAATAATGTATTATATAATTCATGGCATCTAGGAAACAATGAAATTGAAAAATCTCAATTTGATTTGACATATTAGAGACATATTCTTATTTATAGGTAGTTTATAAATTACACAGCATAGAAATAATCCTAAAATATAAAAGATCCATCCAGCTGGCATTTAGGGGCTAGTATAGTTAGACGTCCTGTACTTGATTTGTATTACCTCATCTCAAATTTAACACCAGAAAATAACTCTTACAGGATTATTATCAAGAGTAAAATATGAAAAAAATTACATAGTTAACATGTTGCACTCATGATCAACCAAATAAATAAATTACATGATTTGTTAAAATTTGAGGTGGTTTTCTTTAGAGCTAGGAAATACCTGAAAGTATTGTTGAAAAATAAAATGCAATATTGTTTTTAAACCTGAATTCAAATTTGACCTGTCACCCTATTAATATAACATGGATCAGAATTATTTTCCTTTTAATGTAAGGAAAAACATCCAGTTATAGAAATTAAAATCAGTTTTCTTTTATTTAAACATTTGAATATAATGCTTCTCATAACAAGGAATGAATATTTCATGGTTATTAGGGAAGAAATAATAGTAAGTAGAAAACACTGTTTTCAAAAAAATGTGATAATTCAAACTGAAAAATGGCAAAGTAGTATAAATACTTCACCAAAAAAAGGCTGGATATGTAAACTTAGTAAATTAAGCAATTATCTAGGTTTAATTCCTGGATAAGTTGTGCCTTGGGTAAGCTATGCTATTGCTAGGCTTTTGTGTGAGCATGTTCAGATTACTAGAATAATATTGTTTTGTGGGTTTACTAAATTCTTTGAGCATCTGCTCATACAATATCATTTAGTTATGATCTAGAGCTTCTGAAGCCTTTCTAGATAAAGGCAGCAATATGGATCTTTAAAATGTTTTAAAGTACATATTATGTAACAAAATGTATTTAATTATAAAAATTAGTTGTAGTTAGCTAATTGATTATGGAACACTAATTTATTTAAATAGCTCCCAAAAGATTTCCTCTTTTCTCCCAGTAAAAATAATTGAGAAAAATGGGGTACCTTGAGAGAGCAGTTTCCACATTTTTCTACACAATAAACAATCTTAATGGCTTGTTCTACATACGGGAAACTTAGGAAGGAGTAAGGCATTCTAAGATGATATGCAAGACGACCACATCTGAAAAAGGGTAGGAGAAGGGGGTACAAATACAATGTTATCCTGTGTTTTTGTATTATTTTATAAATTTCCTTGGATGCAGTCCACAAAGGAACTCCCAGGCACTGCATGCTAAATCAGATCACAGAAAAATTACAATTGGTCTAATACTAGCATTTTGAAATACAGATGTGTGACTAAAACATTCATAGTCAATCAAAAATAATTTTGTAATTTATGTATAAATTTTACCACATCCCAGCCCACACTGATATATAAATTAGACTCTAGCATAACTGCTAAGAGCACAAAAGTGACACAATAAGAGATCACACCATACCCCCCCAGAATTCCCCAAGCCTTGGCCAGTAGATCTGATGCAACAAAAATATTACAGTGAAAGAACTGAAATTGTAACACTTGGCATCCTCAGAAATACAGTTTGAATTCCTTGTCGCCCACATTCTATCCAATGTATAAGAGTTTACATAAATAGAAAAGTGCTAGACTGTACAACTAAGAAGTTCAGAGGCCTGAAAGACTGAAATGTAACATTGAAAAGATATGCTTAGTCTTAAGCAGAATATGACTCACCAGACTGAAGATCCAAAAGAAAAAAAATCCAAAAGAAAAAAAATCACCAAGAATATTTTCATGGCATATTTTTATGATTTATATCTAGATGTCCCCCCTAAGCCTCGTATGTTCACAGGCAGGACTTTTCAGAGGTAGCTAGATCTAGAGTGTATGATGATGGGATTAAGTGTGTGATGCTGGGACTAAGAGTGTGTGGTTACTAACCAGTGCACTGATTGGTCTGGCATAGTTCTGGTAGTGGACACAATGAAGAGGAGGAGGATTAGACACAATGGGAGTAGCAGCAGTAGGCTAATACCACTACTACTTGGGCATGAATAGCCTGGATACAATATAAGGCACAGAAAGATGGCTGTTATGGTTACTTGTTGCTTGCTGTTTTGCTGCTTCGTTGCCTTCTGCCTACCATGAACTATTTCTCCTCTGCCATGCATTCCACCCTACCTTAGAGCCAGCCAATTATGGACTGAAACTTCTACAAACTATGAGCTCAAATGCCACTACCTGCTTAGCCAGTGGGGTCTTCAGACGGGCCCAAGGGAGATTAAGAAAAACTTAGACACATAATAAAAGGAAAGCTGTGACTGGGTGGGACCTGACCTCTCTGATGGAGAGGGAGTGACAACCCTGCCTGGTCTTCATCTTTATATATACACAGTAAAAAGGGGTAGGGGGGGGAGCACACAACAGGGCCAAAACTGCAAGGTCTCAGTGTTTTGTTGAGAACACTGAAAGTGAAAAATTCTCAGAACTGTCTGTGCTGTACTTAACAGGGAGGAACACCAAGCCAGACACCTGCTATACTGGCTTTACTCTAGTCCCAACAACTTTTTCACATGTTTTACCTCTAGTGTTCAACATTCCCAGGGCTGGCCCTGCTCTAGCCCCAAATGTATGGTTGATCTTCAGTTCAGCTGCTCCCCCAACTGAAATACACCTTTTATTCCTTAATTTGGGGTGTTGGGTATTTTGTCTTAGCATCAACAAAAGACACACAATATATGCATGGAAGGTCTCTTGAAATACGAATGTTTTCTTCGTTCATTGAGTCAAAAACAGATTCATGCAGATCAGCTTAAATTATTAACACACTTTACATTTTAGAAATGCAAAAGCAAACATCTTCAAAGTGAGGTTATCATCTGAACAATACTTAGATTAGAATTATATGTGGATGTTTCTATATAACTAGAAGGTCAATTTACCTGGTGGGAGAGAGAGATATATATACTGTGTTCTTTATCTATAGGAATAGTGAACACTTTTACATACCTTACCTTCATGACAGTCATTTTAAAGCTTTAGAAACCAAGTCCTGTAATGGACTCATTTTTGAAACTGAGTACTTGGTAATGAAACAAAAAGAAATGTCTTATTTTAAATCCTTTGCTATTAAATACAAAACAAGAAAAAAGTGAGGAAGTTTTGCAAAATTCTGAAGAAGAGGTAATAGGAAGATAATAAGGTAGTAATTATGAAGACAAGATAGCTATACTGAGAGTTTAAAGACCATAGAATTTGGCAATGACCCAAAATGGAAGGTGTGACAGAAGTCACTAACATATGCCTGTCACACAGCATTCTCAAGGACAGATGGCAGCTAGGCTACTACAAATGATGGAGTCTGTGATGTCCTCAAAGAAAATTACTGTACAGGAGAGTGAAACACTACTGCTACTACTACCTGGCTGCATCTTTCCTTCAAAAGAATTGTTTTATATAACACACAAAGGTTAATGTGGAATAAGACTTTGGAAGATAATGGGTCAAGATTTGAATAACTGAATTTAAAATGTTTGTCAATGTATCTGTGAAGTGGATATGAGGTCTAGAGTTGAGTTATTATGTTTCAGCTTTGAATTTAGGGTTATCAGAACATAAATCATATTTGTAATCAAGGAGTAGGTGAGATTGTTCATGCAGAATATGCAGTGTGAAAAGAAGGAAACCTAAGTGGCCTTGATAATACAAATGTGTATGGAATAAACAGGAAGAATGTAAAAGGAAGAAGAATGAGGAGAAAGAAAAGGAAAGATGTGGGGAAAAAACCAGCAGAATACAGTGTTTCATCAAAAGAGGAAAATGTTTTTTAAAATCAGTTTTTTTTCCAACTTTCATTTACATTGCATAATGACTATATTCTTGTGGGAAGTCAGGACATGTAGGTAGTACATATTCTTTTTTAACTCGTATTTATTCTAAATGTTAATGAGGCATTTTATATGAGATGTGAAGTGAATATGGCATTACATTTAACAATAAAGAAGACTATATATATGATGAAAGTAAATAAATACAAAATGGGTATCTTAATTTGAAAAGAGATGGATACATACCTGTCATAGATGAGAATGTCATCTTTATTTCCTTTTAGGCGAGACCAGATATCTGGTTGGTGTTGTTCTTGTTGATAAACAGATATATGATCTGAAACGTGTTTTTTAAGATATAGGTACTGTGACCGAGCATCAGCTCCTGGACCATTGACAATGATATAGGAAATATTAGAATAACCTTCGAGCTTTAGTTTTACTCGCAGGTCTTCAAACCTAAAGTATTTGGGAAAAAATACATAAGATGAATAATCTCATTTAATTTGACTAGCAGTCTTTTCTCCCCTCACATTCTTTTTCCCCCTTACAACAATGGTTTACATGTTATAAGATTCTGAAGCTCTCACTTTAGAATTATTTAAAATTTGTTCTCAGTTAAAACCTTATGCTAAATGCTTCTGCAAATGTTTGCTCATTTAGTTCTCAAGTTAATCTTACGAAGTATATATTTTTGAAATGTGTCTTAGAGAATTTAACCAAGGATGAAACTTTGGTGAATAACCCAACAAGTATTTTTGATGTTATGTTTGTTAAATGACCCAAGACCTGTGATAGCAAGTGTAATTTGCGTGTTACTCTGACAAAACACTCTTCTTTTAACTGTCACATTTGTAGGAGTTCATTTTAAAACATTTTCATTATACAAATAATGATTAATAAAATAATACATGTTTAGTAAGAAGTGTAAAGTATAGGTCAGTTCACAAAAGAAAAAAATGTAATCACAAGAAAGCAACCAGAAACATTTTGGTGTATATTCTCCTGGTCTTTTCTACTTTACTCTATTCAAATACAATTTTTCCAAAAAATGTGATTTAACAAATATGTTGTTTCCATTTGTAGTTTATGTATATATGTATGTATGTACATAATGCTTTTTCCTCAAATATATTCTGAGCCACAAAAAGACTATCTTACCTAGAAGCCTGCAGAATGCACACATATCAGCTGGCGTCGAGAAGAGCGACCACAGTCACCGTGCCAGTGGCGTTCTGCATAGGATTTTGATCTCCTATGCTCCATGGTGGGGGTTGCTCACAATAGGAGCTTTTGCTCTGGCTCTGTGTTCCTCCACCAGGGAGGAGACAGAGAGCCAGAGCAAGCCCCAGACTTCTCCACATTGCTGGGGTTGTCCTGTAAAACAGAAAACTAGTAGCCTTCTTCATAGATAACTTCACAGCTGAAACTATGAATTTCTATAAATTCAGCAGATAATAATTTTACTTCCTTTAATATGTAGCCTGTGCATTGTCTCCATTTTGTAGGGCTCAGTATGCCATTGTAATGCACACTAAAACTTCCTATAAAAAGTTATGAGGCAGAGGCAGGGAAGTTAGCAAAGCACTGATGAACTATCTAGCTTAGCAAGATACCAGCCAGCCATACACTGCACAGAAGTTAAACATTTGTTTTAAATGTTCAGATTATTGTTTATATGGTCACATAACATTTTGCAAACACCGTCTGATTTTGATTTGCAACATACCAAGTTCTCACTGCTTCTTTCTGATCTTTCAGAGTCTAAGGAAGTGAAAGGTCTAAGGAAGTAGGAAATTCTGCACAGAAATGATAAAAACCGGCACAGAAAGATCTCAAGAAGAAAGGAGCTGGTCTTGAGGATAGTTTACCAAAGCAAATGTTGCTCATGTTGGGCCTTTAACTCTTCAAACTCAAAATCTTCCATATGAATAAACACGTTGAGTATGGCTCTTTTTTGTTTCTTATACATAAAGGTTTAGCTGCATGTTGCTATTACAGGAATTTAACTTCTCAAAATAAAAGATTATCTGTCATATCATTACTCCCATACCTATGATATCATCGAGGTAGGGGAGAACCTGACCAGGAGAAATCACAAAGCACTGCTCCTTACATCTTTTAAGGCTCACTAAACCTGTACTCAATTAACCTGTTATGGGCTTCTACTACTTTCAGAAAGTTCCCTGGAACTTGACAGCATATTCATGCATAAAGATGCCCCCTTTCAGCAGATAAGTTAAAATATTAAATACCTGGCCAGAAATATCCCCAAACTAAGGCCAGCTCTCAAAAGACTGATTAAAAAGATTTTAAAAATAATGAATTTCAAGAGGTGATGATAAAAGGGACACATTCAGCAGAAATAAACAAAGAAAAATTCAGAGGTAATTCAGGCACATTTAGAAATAGGAGTCTGTGGAAAAAGATCAGGACAAAATTCCAAAACTAGGAAGTCAATAATTTTTAGGCACTAATCTGACAAAGCAAAAGCTTTTCTTTGGATGAGAGTTGCTAATACTGTTACCTGGAATGAACTCAATTAAAAGACAAGAAGAAAGTTAAAACCAGACTTTAGTGGCTATAAGCTTTTTAAATCCAATTAGCTTTCATGTTATTTAACAACACAAAATGCCTACTAATAAAGGACACTTGATAAGAGTCTAACTCCCAAAAGCTGAGAAAGAGAGGGAGACAGAAGACAGAGGGGGATGACAATTGAATCCACCTCAACTATTTTAATAAGTTTAAATATTTTAAATGTATGATTTAGGGCTGGAAATGTAACTCAGTGGTAAGGTACTCACCTAGGTTGCACAAGGCCTTAAGTTTGATCCCTAATACTGAAAATAATCTAATGATTTTCCAAAGGATATGTTTGTACTAAATCTGGGAAATTTCTCTAGGATAATATTTATATTGATAACACAATTGTCCTTATTGCAGTTGTCATTTATTTATATTTAAAGAACTATACACAGGCAGCACTAAACAGCTGTGTTCATGTCAGTTACCCCCCACACCTTTGGCAGCTGAGGAAGCTATGGCTAAGGGAGAGTTTAAACATCTTATCTATGATCACATATGCAGTAAATACAGAACCGATTCAAATCAGTTCTGTCAGATCCAAAACAACCTCTTAGCTACTCTGATAGTTTTTAGATAGATCACCTTGTGATAATTACAGTAGCCAACTTCATTTATGCCCTAAAATGGCATAGAGAACATCAAAATTGTTTTATTTCTTAATAGACTGTCCAATTTCTAAAATATAAATTTACAAAGCTCTTGGGTTTGATCTCTTTCACTGCAAAAATTAATTCAGTAGTTATAGAATCCTCTTCATAAAGATAGTAATTAATATTCTAACTTTTGCCATGAGGACATGGTTTCAGGTAGCTAAAGAACAAATACAAATGAAAAGACTATTTCCCTCAATTAGGTTTCTACTGGAAAAGTAAGCTATCGGTAATGGATTAAAGAATTCATAATTCCACATTTTCTCTGCCATTGTAACCAATAGACTGTTCAACTTTGTTTGCTCAAAATAATTGTTATATAATAAGCTTTTGGTTTTAATTATAGTTGTCAAACAGCTATATAAAAATAATGAGGATAAATAACAATTGTATTTACTAAAAGCTGATTCAATAACAATTGGAAGGTAGTTGTAACTTTCACTAATCTCATAGCTTCTCAATTACAAAACTTAGATTAGTTGGCCCTATGCAGATCTCCATTTGTTTAAAATCCCCACTGAAAGGCAGGCTGTGATGCAGGCTATGCACAGACTTTATCTTCTCTGGGCTTCAGGCCAGCATCTGAAAGCCTCTCAATCCTCTGAAGACCCATTCTGCCTCTAAAATACAAGATGTTCTATTTAATCACAGACCACCCCATTCTGACATGCATTTTAATTCCCTTAAGGGTGGCACTGTGGGAAGAGCATGCACCACCACCACCACCACCCCTTTTTCTGAAACTGATCACAGTATCCCTAGATATTTCCATAGCACTGCAGAATGAGCTATTTCAGTCTCTACAAATCCACTAGGCTCTTTTTTCCGTTTGCTCTCACTCTACCTTTCATGGAGAAGCTCTTAAATTTGCTCATATCACACTGCCTGTACAATATTACAGCTCCTGCAGAGTGGAAGGACTAGATTCCTCCAGCTTCCAGGTGCTCAGTCCTGCTGGAGGGTAGCACAGATACCAACAAGAAAGTCAGCTGTGCCCGCCAAGAACTTTACCCACCACACCCAAACTGAGAGTCTTCTCTCTTTTCCTTATTATTTTTATTTCCTTAATGCATCTTTTTCTAAGTTACTGAAGAGGGAAAATATCTTCTTTCACATGCAAAAAATATTTACCAAACTCTAAAAGAATCAACAATTGGAAAACAAAATTCCTACTTACGCAACCCCTTCAGACCAGCCTCCTTCTTTCTCTTTGCTTTGCTGGGGCTGCTCTGCACAGCCAACAGGAGAACGCTGGTATTTATAGTCCCGTTGTTTACTTCTCCCCTCAGCTACAGTCCGGAGTCCAGTGCTGTCTCTTGAAATCAGAGCGAGCCCTGAATTGTGATTATGATTAACTTAAAAGAAAGCCCAAGTCCTGCCACGCATAAAGTGGAAGAAGGAGTTTCAACAATTACAAATCCATTCCCTATGGTTTTCAGTCACCCTAGTATCTAGGATTTAATGGTACAGTCGGGGGCGGGAGGAAGTGCAAAGGGTAGAAAGGGCCTCCAAGTCCCGTTCTTTTCCAAAATATAATAGGGAAAAACATTTGCTGAGCCAGCAAGTTATGCTGCTGTTGTACTTTTTAAAATCTGTCTTTGTTTCCTTTGTGGTGATGATGTGCTAGCTCACCTACACTGTGTCCTTTGGTAGAAAAAGTCACCTGTTGTTTCAAAGTGTTCTGGTCTCTCCTATTACAGAATAATGACCATTGTTTTTCTGTGTTTGCAACTGGAATTCCTATGAGATCTCACAAGATAGCTGCTCTTTTTCATTTAAGGAAAGGATAAAATAAGAAAATAGCCTCCTATCTGAAGGAAACCAAGTTTCATTTTAATTGTCACAGAAGTCCCACTCCCTGCCTGACCATGTACTTCACAGATTATTTAAATAACCTAATATAAAATGTATGGAAGTCTCCTACAAATAAAAGTGATAGTTGTCATGCATGAGACAAGTATAGAAATTCCAAAGTGTACAGATAAAACAGAAAAATTCCAGCTACATCAGAAGGAGGAAGCCAGGCATGGTAGTGCACATCTATAATGCCAGCACTTTGGAGGCTGAAATGGAAGGATTACCATGAGTTCAAGGCTAACCTGGACTACATACTGAGATCATATCTCAGAACACCTTCCCTCACCAAAAAAGAAGGAATATTATTTTTGGTAACCTTTGCAAAGCACTAAGGAGTTAAGGAACAGCCTTCCCCAAGTCCCACATGTTCACACTTGCTGTGTTCTGACAGAAATTAACAGCCTGCCTTGACTGCTCCAGAACCCAACAATGCAGGGTTTTCTTCACATGGTTGAACTCAAGCCCAAACCGTAAAGATTCTCAGGCACTAATGAAGGTATTAATTTATTGCCCTAAACACTGAAAGAAACAGGCCACGGCCATAAGCCAAAGTCCTGGAACTGCGTATCCCAATCACCTCACTGCTGACACACCGAGGTAGACCACCCGTCCTTTTCTCTCTTGCGAGAATATGCTGCAGCACGAATAGCCCTTCCTGCCTCTTTCTTTGGAATCTGTACCAGCACCACCTGCGGCTGGCTTCAGGCATTCGTGGGAACTGTTCTGTCAGTGTTTTGAGGATGACTCTATCCATGGAGTCACAATACAAAACACAGTGATAGATGAGGTCATCTCTAGATACTGACGATTTTCAAGTTAGTCTTGCTTTTATCCAAACAAACCCTTATTGATTGCCATATGCTGGATACTGCCGTACAGGGTACGAAACATACAAAGAGGCCCAGATGTTATCCTTCCCATAAAGAAACTTCACATCAAATTAGAAGTCATTTGCAAACCAAATTCTGTTTACTTGCATCAAGCAACAAATATTAACCTTTATGCTTATCACACATATCATTAAGAATTTCAGGGAGGAGGCACCTGCTTTTTAAAACAGTCTCATGAAAAAAAATCTTTATGCAAAGCAAATAGCCTCCCCTATGGTTCATTTCCTTGGCAAATTTAAGTAGTCAGATTAGTCTGTCTGCAACAGGAAAGCGAGCATTTCACTATCTCCTCCTTTCTCCCGTTATGGCTTAGCAGTCACCTCCTACCCAGAAAAGATTTCTGCCAAGTGTGCAACTGGCTCCAAATCAAAATGCTTAGAAGCGTGTGTATGCGTTCAGCTCACTCTATGCTAACATCCCCAAAAGGTAAAAAGAGAAGATACAATATTGTAATGTATGAAAGAAATTCATGGTTAGTCTCTTCCACACCGGGCAACATGACACCACTCAGCATTTTTGAGAAAGCAGAAATTTCAAGCAAACACTGGATGGTTAACTAAATTACATTAAATCAAATAAATGCTTTTGGCAGTTGATGCAAAGCAAAATGCTAAATTTTAGACAAGTAAGCAGACTAAAGTGTGATTATGTCTAGGAAAGCTGTGAACATGAGATTCTATTGCAACGTTAGAAATGAAAAAAAGAGGTCCTAACCCAGCTGGACATGGAGTAGGTTTCAGGAAGTAAGCATTCATTCAAGCAAGCTCAAAAAAGTACTTTATCTTAGGTTTACCCTCTACATACAGAACACTAGAAACCCTGACCACAGCACTGTTTATCCAGTTTGTGATTGTTTAATATTTTTGAATAATTAAATCTCCTAATATGTTACTCTAGCCATTACAACACAATGTAAATATTAAGATTACTGAGAGTAACTGAGTATCAAGTTTAACTTTGCTCTCACGAGCTGATCTCTTACAATTTCTGTCTCTGAAGTCATACTGTCTTTCATACTATAAGCTCATTTTGTGCCCTAAACATTTGTTGCAGAATGTTTGTACATGTATTCAGCCTATGTTTTTAGTAAGTATTTTATGAGCAGTAGATGATTCAATGAAGAATAAGGCCCGGAGAATCTGTGAGTGCATGATAAAAGAAAGAAGCCGTATAAATCATGACTCTTTAAATCAGTTTATTACCTAAGGCAGATGATATGACACAGATCATTAGTTAACATTTATGAAACACTAATTTCTCAAAATGTTAGAAAGTGAGAATGTTAACATACAAAGTATTAGTCTCTTTGGTTTAAGTGACATATTACATAATATACAAAAGGCCATGAAGACATTCCCAACACTTTGGTTTTTTACTTAAATGACCATTTCCTCCCCTTGCATGTACAAAAAGTAGCCCTGAATATCAGCTTATGGCTAGTATCAAACATAGTATTGCTTGAGCAAGTCTATTGAAAGATTAATAAGTCACTTTGAATGTGCAAAGTGTGTTTAGCAAAAAAAATATTTTTTTAAATAAGTGAGAACAATGGCCAAAGGAAGGCATGGGAACAGCAGGTTATATTAGATAAGATCTAACTGCATCTCTTGAGATTCAGATGAGACTGAAATGCACTTTAAAGGGTCCCTTTCTTCAAGCTCACAAGTTTACAGATCTGAAAACTGTTTGATATCAAGCATAAGTGCAATTAGGGAAGTGACTACGTTCAGTGCCAAATTTCATTTGGCTCTGAGCAGTTTCAGAAAATAAACATCAAAGCCTTTGCTTGAGAAAAGACGTTAAAAATTTTTTAAGTAAAATAAAACCAAAACTTAGCCAAACCAAAGCTATTGACTCCAGCTATTCATCAGATGTCAGCATCAACATGTAAGAAGCACGCAGGGGGATGAAAGGGCCTGAAAACAGCATTTACTCCTAAGTGAGGGAAACACCCAGGTAAGATAAGGTTAAGGAGTTCAGCCTCAGAAGAATGCCTCCACATCTGGTCAGACATCTGGACAGGCACTGTTTACAGCAGTTGTCTTTTTAGCTGCTCTAACAGGGCAGGTGAGCAGGGCCAGAGAAGGGTCTGCTGGATGGGCGCTGGGGATACCATGGGTGTCCAAATCACAATGTGGAGACACAAAAGATTCTCTTTTTTTAATTTTTCTTTTTTTTTTGGGGGGGGGTCTTTTTGAGACAGGGTTTCACTGTGCAGTTCAAACTGGTCTTGAGCTCACTTTGTAGCCCAGGTTGGTCTCAAATTTGCTATGATTCTCCTGCCTCAACCTCCCTAGTGCTGAGATTACAGGCCACCACACCTCACTGCACAAAGGATTCTTACTAAATATTTGGTAAAAAAAAAAAATAGGTAAATAAATAGTGGATTTTCCTGTGAGAATAAAGAACTGAGAAGTCTGGATTTTTTAATTATGAAACTCCTTGTATCTCAAAAAACAAGACAATTTACTAAAGTAAATCATTTGCTGATTTCTATCTTGAAATCACTTAATCATGACATTGTCTATACATAGAGTTCTTGCCAGTAAAACTCAAGCGATTATTCATGTCCTCAAATATATAATGGATGGTTTCTCTTATTGCTTGTCATAACTAATACTGCCTTACACCAGCTGCTAACAAGTATTTATTCCTATTTTGCTTAAAATTTAGAAAGCTTTCTTTTGTGCTATGTCATCCAATTTTCCAAGAGGTCAGGTTTTAAATAACTGACATACTGTGTCCAGTTTCATTTCAATTAAATGGATATTTCCAACTTAATTTTGTAGCAGTCTTAATCTGCTATTTCATTTTAAAGGTGTATATACTACCAGAATTTTCTATGACTTGTGTTGATAGTATCTCAAATCTTAAGTGTGTTTTGTTAGAACCTCTATGAACTGATAACAGTTTTCTGATTGAATAACCAATTAAATGTAACAATTTCCAACAAGATAGCTTTATATAATGCTCATTAAAAAATAATTCAACTTTGATAGAAAGAAAGAGAAAAAGAAAGAAAGAAATGTGATCTTAATTTGTTTCCAGAACTGCTGAGAATCTTCAGACAAGGTGTTGTCATGGTTAATTTCTTCTGAGGTTTCTCTCTTTGACTTACAGATGACTGTTCTCTTTGAAAAAATGACTCCATAACAACTATTTAAAGGAAGTTTTGACCTTTGGTCTTAATCCTGAAACCATGTTTGTGCAAGATTTTCTAATCATTGAAGCTTGTATCATTTTTTAACATGTATAAGTGTGTGTGAGTGTGTGTGTGTGTGTGTGTGTGTGTTTGTGTTTGTACATAGGTGTGCGTTGGAACCCTTGACACTGGAGCATGACTCCAGAATGACAACAAAAGAACACCAGCACATGAAAAGAGACTAGAAAGATACATTAACTAGTGACAGTGGTTTCCCTTCAGGATAAGAATAATTTTTCATTCTTTGTGCTTTT